GATCCTGTCTCAAAATAAAATAAAATAAATAAAATGTTCCATCCCAGTACCACCAAAACCAAACCAAAATAAAAACCTATGTTCTAACTGTACCTAATCCAGCAATAGTGCCTCTTGGTTTTTACCTGAGAGGATTGAAAACATGTCCACATAGAAAACTTGCACATAGATGTTTATATTAGCTCTATTCAAACTGCCAAAACTTTACTTAATCTTAGGCAAAAAGCTGAGAAGAGATACAACTGCCAAAATTTATAAACATCCAAGATGTCATTCAGCAGGTGAGTGGACACACATATTGTGGTATATCCACTCAATGGAATATTATTCAGTGCTAAAAAGAAATGAACTATCAGGTAATAAAAAGACATGGAAGAAGCTCAGATGCATATTATAAGGTTAAAAAAAAGCCGGTCTGAATGCATAGGCTTCTAGCCCTATGACATTACGGAAAAGGAAAAACTATAGAGACAGTGAAAAGGTCCATGACTGCCACAGGTTGTTAGGCAGGGAAGGATGAACAGATGGAGCACAGAGGATTATAAGGCAACCATTTAGCAGTGCTGGCTGCTGTAACAGAATACGATAGACTTGGTAGTTTAAACAGTAGACATTTATTTTGCATAGTTCTAGAGCTGGGGAACACTCACACTGAGGTGTCAACAGATCCAGTGTCTGGTGAGGGCACTTCCTGGTTTGCAGTTCAGTGATTATAACAAATGTCTTAGTCGTCTGTGGGAGGCTGACAGTGACGGAGGTGGGGGTATATGGGAATTCTTTGTACTTTCTGTTGAGTTTTGCTGTGAATTTAAATCAGATCTTTAAAAATCTACTTTTAGCAAATTAAAATAAGAATACTATTTCATGAGGTGAAACAATACTTTCTTGTTTGCCTATTTCCTATAACAGCATTCATACTACAGTGGCAGAGCTGAGTATTTCCATCAGAGATAATATAATTATAAAGCCCAAAATTTTAATCTACTCTGTATAGAAAGATTGCCAAACTCAGATAGTTTGCTGAATACTGGCTTACTTTACATATATAAATTGAGCTATCTTCCTATATCCCACCGTATACAAAGTTGAAAAATATAATAGAATTTGAGCTGAAGGCTAAAACTAAAATACTGCATAAAATACAGAGGAATATTTGTGATTTAAGAGCAATGACTTCTCATGGAAGATGACAAAAGCACAAATCATAAGGATTCATATCCTTAATTTTGATTTCACAACCCCCAAAGTGACGGTCATCCAAGAACGAAGTTAAGAGATAGGTGAAGACTGGAGGGAGGCATTTACAATGTTTAAAATGGCAGGGAATTAATATCTCAGATTTACAAAGACTACTTGCATATTAATCAAAACTGGAGAGGATGTGAAAGTGTGGAGATAAAGGGCATCACCCTCCACATTATTTTCTTACTTTTTCCACATGAATTTTAGGAGGAATATTGTTTTTGTCTGCTTCTCCCAGAAACTTTGCTGCATTTCTATGGCTAGCCCACTTTTTCTAGACTAAAGTTTTTTCTTTGCAGTTGTAAATCTGTGAAACTTTCTTATGAAGGCAACTTGCTAGAGAAATTTATGACCTCTGGATTGTAACCTTAAACCCCTTATTATTTAGAGTACATTTTTGAGCTCAAGAGTCTTCTGCTATTTGGTCATTACTAAGTTGAGTGAGAAATGAGGGAGGATCTTAATAAGGCAAGATCATAAACAACTGACTTTTTGAACCTGAAGACATAATGCCTACTGTGAACTAAATTTATGAACTCAGAATGGTTGCATTGGGTGCCTAGAAACCAGAATTTCCATCTCCCAGAATGCATAATATTCAAATCCTCTATTCATCTGAATTGACCTACTTTTTAATTCTCACTCTCCTCCATCCCCAAATCCCTCCTACACTCGGGTTAAATATTTCCTAGAACCTTGCTACTTAAGTGGTGCACAGACCAACGGCAGCATTCTGGTAGAAATGCAGAGCCTCAGGCCCCACTGAAGCAGCCTGCGCCAATAGGATTCCCAGGTGAGTCAACGTGCACATTAACTTCTGAGACCTCTGGATTGCCTTCTGAAGTTTCTCTGCCTCTACTGTGTTCTGTAAAAACCTGCTTATTATTTATTTTTACATTGTACTTCTGTACCTAGTGATAGGTACATACTAATGTGCACAATCCACTACAGGTATTTATGTAAAAGGTATCTCTTCTCCATTTTGTGAAACTGTTTACAGATTGTTACGGATGTGAAAGTGTTTACGGAATCTCCCACAGATCAAGGAAGCTATCGGAGGGCAACTATTTTAATCATTTTTCTATCAGTATAGCAATATGGTGAGAATAAAGGATTTGTGTGGAGAAGGACATTCTTTGATTACAATGCATTGAGGACACTATGGTTTGTTTGTTAAAGTTTCTTAAGATAAGGCCTTATTATACAGCCTGGATTAACCTTGAGTTTATGATCCTCCTGTCTCAGACTCCTGAGTGCTGGGGTTATAGGCATGTGTTGGATTACATGTTGAGAAGGATAATCCTTTAGCTATCCTTGCTAAAAAAAATTTGGTATCTGCCCATTTATTGGCTGCTCCCTTGGTTCTCCCTCAATAAAAGGTGACTGAAATTGGTATTTGCAGCTGCGGCTGTACGCCCCCTGATCCCAGACTTTTGCCTCTCTTGTTTTTCTTGTCTCTTTTTACTTTTCTTATTGATCCATGGGCACCTCGTTCTAGGGACCGGTTCATCCTGGAGAGACAGGGATGAGTAATCCCACAGATTTGAAAGATCAAAGACCTGCACATAAATCTTGTACTTGCTAACCTGCTCTGTGGGTGACTTCAGGAAAGCAACACACCTCTCTGAACCCATTTTCTCATATCAGAAGGGAGCTGATAGTACATAGAATGTACTAATAGCTTTCTACAAGCTAACCGATATAAATCAATTTAGGCATCTAGAGCTCAAGGGTATCTGGGGACTTCTTGAAGCACGGAGCCTTTGTTCATGGTAGATTTTCTTATGAATGCAGTGTTAACTATGAATTTTCTTTTTAATTACTACTGGTAAGTCGTTCAATAGGATGGTCCTCATTTCAGAAAACACAATGAGAACTTTATTGATGCACAACAAACAAACAAACTTTGTCCTAGTTTATAGTCCCTTTCTAATGGGATTGTGGTCCTTAACAAGGAAGACCTAGCGTTTTGAAGCTAGTACATCTGTTCCTTCATGTTAGTTTTTCTTTGAACTTACAGTGTTTCAAAACATTCTTTAGCATAAAAATTAAGACATGTACAATTTCGTACAGTACACCTCTGACACTCTCTGTAAGCACAGAGCTGTAACATTTCTCTCCTTTTCTTCTGAGAGGAACCAAAGCGCACCTCTGTTCGCCCGTTTCGACGACTGGCTGCATGGAATTTTCCAATCTGTCTGTACCCAGTGGGCACTCCTGATGAAATAAGGCAGTTTTGCTTAATAGTCTGTTGACAGGGATTTTTTTTGCAAAAGAGAGTCAATTATGTATGTTTTTAAGTACGTCTTTCTAATTATTTCTACCTGGTCTGTATCGTACCTAAACCTGGCGACCTTTTAAACACCTGCTCATGCAGACAGCCCTGACCCTTGTTGTCTTTTCTACCTGGTAAAGCTGAGGGATGGGATTCCTTAGGGAAGAGCCAGAGAGGGTCCCTCCAAACCCTCCAGGCACCTGCACCTTCCGTTGACTAGTGCCTGCACCATTTTCCTTACAGATTCCTAAGTGGCGACCAACTGCCCTGCTCCTTTTCCCACGAGCAGTGAGAGAGAAGAGAGGGGCAGCGGCCTGGTGCGTGGGCTAAGCCAGCCTCGCCCACTTTGGCCGCTCCAGCAAGCGAAGGGCGCTTCCTTCTGCTCTTCCTGGTGCACTGGTTGCTTTTTTTTTTTTTTTTTTTGAGACAGGGTGTGGCTACGTTGTTCAGGCTGGCCTCAGATTTGAGATGATCCACCTGCCTCAGCCTCCCAAGTGCAGGGATCACAGGCGTTGGACACCACGTCGGCCTCAGAACCCCCAAACAGAGAGCCTGGTATGGAGTTTCACAGTCTGGCGCTTCAGAATCGAAACCCGGGGGCTGGGGTGTAGATCGGGGGTGGAGAACTCGCCTAGCAAGCGCATGGGGCTGGGTGCATCTCAATCAATCCATCATCCCTCTGGTTTGAATGAACTTGGTTGGTTTAGGTGAAGTCCTAGGGGGAAAGGACCACTGGACACCCCGCCCACGCTCTTGGTCTTCAGCGCTCCCTAGAGCATCAGAATCCAAAGGACCGTAGCCGCCGGCACGCCCGGGACGGAGAGCGCGGAGAGGTCTTGCGGACCGAGCGGGCAGCATCCGCCGGGGCGGGGCGGGGCAGGGCAGGGCGTGCCGGGCC